TTGAAGTAGTTCCTATTTTCTTCTCTGTTAATTGCATGTTGTTTTTTGCTTTTCAACATATTACTTAATTTTTAAATTTTCTTGCCCCACATTCAATGACTATAGGACAAAGTCTTTAGTTTTCCCCTTTATGGAGTTCCCGATTTATATATACAAGATATGACAGGTTTCAACAATTTACTCTGTAAATTTGACTGCCCACCTGCTGCTGCGAACCCAAAATTGAGTTTCACAGTCCTTTTAGAAATGCATATAATATTTTATAAGCACAGAAAGAGCATTTATATAAATAAAGATACATGCCATAAAACAATATTTTTTTTGAAAGATCAAGTGTGAATCCCCACTCGGCTGAATAAATCTGATGCTGCCAATAATTCTGGAGCTTTGTGTGTGCCTGCTGCATTTCGCCCTCTCTCCCCCTCACCCCGTCTGAAGTTTGTGTTTTATCATTCCCGTCATAGCTGTACTAGGATATGCATCCCTAACGAATATCCCTAAACTCTTCAAGGCTTTCATTTACACAATTGAAGTTATTCTGCGTGCGTTCAGAGGTCAAGTCGCTCCTACTATCACTATGTGTGAGGCTTGGTCTCCCTGATACGGGTGAAGTCAGAAATTTGGGGTCCTTGGAGGTGTCGGTGTCAATTCCCTCTCTGAGTGTCTCGGTTATTCTTCCTGTGTTAGGGTGATCGTGCCGTCTCGGAGTTTCAGTAGTGCATCTAGAAGTCAGTTACGCAGATTCCTTTGCCTTTGCCTTTCTGCTGCTCTTTCATCTCTTCCTCCTCCTCCTCTCACCCTTTCTTCCTCTCTTCTCTGGACGCGGCGGTGACTAGGACCCTGCCTGTGGAGCCAGATGCCTGGACTCAGACCTCAGACCTCAGACCTCAGTTCTGGCCTGTAGGGAGGACATGAACCCGGGCTCGCCCTCTCCATTCCAGCAGTGGTGTGCCTTCCTTGTCAGAGGGGTGATGATCATCCACGTTGCAGTGCTGAAATCTCGGAATACTGCCTGGCACACGAAGTACTAAGTAATTTTAGTAAAAGATTTTTTCCTCTATCTCAGCAGCTCCTTTCATGTCTGCCTTTTGCCTATGATCATCTAAGTCATCAAGAGCAGAGGGCACCTGCTGGCTCTTCAGTAACCCCATCATCCTAGAGTGGGGAAGGGTTTTACTGTCAAAGTAGATGACTGAGGGAGGCTTGTGAGGGACAGACCCCACTGAGATCAAATCTCCCCCTAGGCCTGCTGTCCCCGGGGAGGCACCGTGGTGAGAGGCAGGCTGAGTGTTACAGGTAGCACCAGTTATACGTTGGAACCACTATAAATATAGTGTGGGACAAAACAGATCAGATTGCTGTCTTCAGAATTAAAATTTAGAGGGAGAGATCATCATTTAAAAATAACTAAACATAATTGTGTTAAATATTACGAAGAGCTGTGAGGGTGGAAGACAGAAAGGCCTAACTGTAGCTGGGGAAGTTTGGGAGGACTCTGGAGCAAAGTGGCTCTAAACTCCCCTCTCATGTGAAGTACCGTAATGTGAGACAAGGATACAGTTCATACAAGTCTTGTCCCGCATGTCATGTATGCAGTAGGAGCATGTAGCCATCATGAGCCTCTCTTTCCTTCCACTCCTCATTCTAGAGTGGTCTTACTTTTTTGTGTCCAGCAGACTTCGCTGGATCCTGTGGGAACCTGACTGTGATGTCTTCCATGCATGGTCCACAATCACACTACATTCTCGTGTATGGTCATGATAGTTTTGCTACGCTTAACCATGCCTCATGTGATCTCTCTCACTTGTGTGAATTCTCTTCTTCCATATTTCACATCTGGGTCCTTGGCTTCATTGTGCAATCTTTGTTCCTCTCTTTGCTCTTGTGGGTCCTTCACACATAAGCTTTCTAGGTAAACCTCATTCTTACTAGACTGTAATGCACTCATTTGATTCTCCAATGATTTCTTTCCTTTTTTTAATGTATAACTTTATTATCATTCACTAAACACACACATGTACAAAAATTAAAATTATTCAAAGAAAAGCAGTGTAAGGGAAAAAAGAACTATAATAATTTTCAAATATAATAGAACTCAACCAAAGCAAAACTGAAAAGTACTTAAACATTTTTCTATATAATTTTAAAAAAATCTCAAGCATTAACAAGACATCAGAAGATGTGATTTGTTTTAGAAAGATTTTCAAAACTAATATTGAACAAATAGTGGTCTGGAGAAAAAATTCAAATTAGAGTCCACATAGGCCAAATTTTTTAAAATTTCCATTTCAATACAGTCATGTGACACAGGATGGAAATATAATCTGAGAAATATGTTATGAAGCAATTTCATCCGTGTGTATCGCAAAGTACCACACAGAGTGCCAACTTCTAAGTGGAAACTGAAAAGGCATACGTCAATCATCTGTGATGGCCCCTTGATATTATCCAAATACACAGTTAAACATGAGATAAATGAGGCTACCACTGGTATAGCAGCACACTGTTTTACAGTAAACTCTTTTATAAAAGTAGGATTATGCTCTAAAGGATGAAAGGCACAGCATGTTATAATAAGTACCTAAAACAGTAACAGTCATTTATCACACTATCGAGTACTGTGTACTGTACATAGTTGTATGTGCTTCTCCTGGAAACATACCCTTCTCTCCTCTGATCTCAGTGACTCTTCCTTCCCAACCCACTGATGAGCTGCAGCCTAGTCTCTATCTACATCTCTTCCTATAGTTTTAAACACAATCTGTATATGGATTCTTTCCAGATTCTAGCCTGTAACTCTGATCTCTCCCCTTCCCCTCCTGCCACCCCTACCCCTGTGAAACTTTTCTTCCTATTTCAAATTATTAGTTATTTGTTTTAATCATTTTAATCCTTATTTACACTTTCAGTTTCTCACACTAGAGAAACTATTCAGTATTTACACATGTGTGCTATTTATTTCACTTAAGAGGATGGCCTCAATATGCATCCATTTAGCTGTAAATGTCTCTAGTTTCTCATTCTTTATGGCTGAGTAGTACTCCATTTTATAAAAAAAAAAACCCCACATCTTCTTTATCCAGTTTCCAGTTGATGGGCATTTGGGTTGTTTCCAAGCTTTAGCTATTACAAATTGTGCTGCTATGAACATGGGTGCACATATATCACTGTGGTATGATTCTTTTAATTCTTTTGGGAAGATACCCAGCAGGGGAATAGCTGGGTCAAGTGGGACCTCTAGTCCTAGTTCTTTGAGGTATCTCCATACTGATTTCCACAGTGGTTGCACCGGTCTGCACTCCCACCAACAGTGGAGAAGGGTGCCTTTCTCCCCTCACCCCCACCAGCATTTGTTATTGGATGATTTCTTTCTGGGGTGAGGTAGAATCTCAGTGTTGTTTTCCTCCTCATCTCTTGAATAACCAGGAATGTTGAACATTTTTTCATATATTTATTTGCTGCTTTTAGTTTGGCTGAGAAATGTCTGTTCATTTCAGATGGTAATTATTGAATTGGGTCTTTGAAATTGGGGGGTCTGATTTTTTTTCAGTTCTTTATATATTCTAGATAGCAGTCCTTTGTCTAAGGTATCCAATGATTTCTTAATGGCAAGTTAATTACTAATTCTGTTTTCTTTCTCTTGGCCAGCCTTATTGTCTAACAATTTTATTGTTTGAAGTATTTTTATCCATGCTGTTTGTTCTCAGTATATACATATATATATATAGTATATTCATATGAAATAAACATGTTTAATGTAATAATTGGAATGAAAAGTACAGTAATGTTTCCAAGAAAACATAATTCTGAGGGAAACTTTAAACAATGAACTCTTGACCAGCCATTCTTTATTCATTCAGCGAACAAAGTGCTAAATATTTACCATCCTTCATTCTAGGAGATAAATTACTACTCTGTGGTCCATTATAGTTGGCTTAAGTAGTGTCTAAGACACTGTGCTGTTGCTGGAACACATTACCTGAGACCCACAATTTAAAAGAAGAAAGGTTGATTTTGGCTCACAGTTCAGTCCATGGTCAGCAGGCTCCATGGCACACACTGCATGGTCCAAGGGCCAGGCAGAGGAAAGCTGCTGACATCATGGTGACCAGGAGGCAAAGAGCAAAGGGAGAGGAGCTAGGAATACTGCATTCCAGGTCCCATCCTTGATGACCGACTCTAACCAGGCCCCACACCCTAACAGCGAGTCAGCTATGAACTCAGTCAGTGGACGAATCTCCTAATAAGTACGGTGGCCCCATGGTCTCAGCTCCTTCCAAACGTCCCACCTCTGGACACTCGACATTTGGGGGATGCTCTAGATCCAAGCGATAACAAGCAGTATCGCTCTACTAATTGGGAAGGGAAAGGGAATAGCAATTCCAGTACAGTAAGTACAATTAACATGGAAGTATGTCTTAAGTAGCCCTTTCTGTCTGTATTTCAGCAAAATCTAATAAATGGGTTTCTAATCTCTAAGCCCCATGTCCTGGCCCCTGCCTGTACCTTAAATGGACCTTCTGAGAATCATAGCTGCAGTAGGCATTCTGTGTTAGATTTGCTTTACTTAGAGGCAATTCATTTAACTGATGAATGAGTTAAAGATGAAGGCAGTTCAGTCTTGCATGATACATGTGTAGTGGCATTTAAACAGTAAATTCAAATAATTATGTTTTAAAATAATGACATAATAACACATTTGGTTTTTATTTCCCAGTAAAACTCACTGTTAAATTAATTAGTTGCAAAATAGGTGATTATAAAAATGGAAAAAGTAAAGCTGTTGAAAGCATATCGCTTCTCAGAGAAAGGTTAATTCTTGAAATGCAGCTCATTATTTTTGAAATGTTTTTTATTTAGTATTTTAATTTTATTTAAATGGCATTTGAATTATAATTATCATTTTGGAAGAAAGTACAAATTAAGTTTAACAGGTGACTTGCTTTATGATTATATTAGTTACTCATAAAATGCTTTTTAAACTTTTTTTTTTTTTTTAGTGTTGTGGATGCATTTAGAAAAAAAGAGAATTGTGCAGCAGTTAAAATCCAGAGCTGGTTTCGGGGGTGTCAAGTCCGGGCATATATCAGGTATAGTGATTTTTGTAATGGAGACCTTAGATACATCGTGACAACCTTTTTCTGAAAAAATGTAATTTATTCATGTAGTGTTTATTTCAAATAATCTTTTATTTTACTCATAATGAAGTTACTGGATTATATTATGTCCTTTAAAAGAAATATACAGTAAATCTGATTTTTTTCCATACCAAATATATAAGTAAATTACACTTACCATATTTCTACTTTTAATAGTTCTCGAGAGTCCATATAAAATTGCTTGATCAGACTCTTTCCCCCAAATCCTATAGGAGGTTGTAAATGCCTGGGTTCTTACTTACAGCTATGAGTTTAACAGTAGCTAAGGATGGGAGGAGCCAGTCCCACCCTCCCTGACGAGACCTCGAAGTCAGTGATGGCAAGTGGTGTCTTTCTGAGTGTACCAAAAGACAGAGCTTTTCCTTTCCTGTTTCACCCCTCTTTTGCTTCAGTCCAAACATTCCCTCAGTCTCCCCTTAAATCTGAAAAGGATATAGTCCTGGATAAAGCAGAGGGAGGAATACGCCTATCGTATAATAATTTAGATGAGAAGCTGGGGTTCCACGTACGACACTTCCTTACACTCTTGAGGAAGTCAGCCCTGAGAGTTTCAAGGGTGAAGAGCAGGTTTCCTTTTGGCCACTGTGAAAGCTAGGAACATGGCAGGAAAAGTACTGTGAATTCAGCAGACTAACACGATGTTGGTTTCTGCAGACGAAGGACTACAAGGCAACATTGAAGAAGGGAATTATTTCCTGAACTCAAGAATTATTTCTAAGGGCTAATTATGATTTGCATCAATCATTATATTGAATGTTAGGACAATAACACAGGTCATAGTGACATTCAAACATGTTTTTCTGGTTGTGGGGGTGCACACGTGGAATCCCAGCACTTGGGAGGCTGAGGCAGGAGAATTGCTGAAAATTCGAGGCCAGCCTGGTCTGCAAAGTGAGTTCAGGGCCAGCCTAAACTACTACACAGCGAGACCCTGTATCAAAACAAACAAAAATCAAACAGACAGACAGACATTTTAAAAATATGTGATGTAGAATAATTGAAATTATTGTTTCATCATAAGCCCAAAAGAAATAATGAGTGGTTATCTATGCCTTTTTACTACTTCTGGAAAACATTCTTTTATGCCACAATGATAACTTCCTACTTTTAAAAAGTATGCATGAACTTAGCTTTGAATTTGATCACTTGAACTATAGGATACTAGATTCTAAGCAAAGGGTTCAGAGACATTCCTGAGCTAGGCGTGGTGACACAAGTCTGCAATCCCAGGTGCTCTAGAGCCTGAGGCAAGAGGTTCACCAGTTCACAGCCAGCCAGGACAACTTGTGACATTGTCTCAAAATAATAATGATAATAATAATAATAATAATAAAATTTAAAAAGGGCTGGGAATGTAGCTAGTGGTAGAGCACCTGCCTACCAGGTTCAACTGGAGTTCAATTTCCAGTACAGTTGAAAGAAAAAAATAAAGGAAAAGAGAGATTCCTGTTTCAATGAATGCATACTCATACACATTTGTTTTTATCCTAGGCATTTACACAGAATAGCAATAATTATTCAGAAATGGTGGAGAGGTTACTTAAGCAGAAAACACTATCAACTGAAGGTGGAGGTAGGTGTATACACCCATCAGCATTTGAATCATATGACCTTAATGCATTAACTTCAGCTTTGTTCACATGCAGTACTGGAATTACTGATGTTAAATGTTTGTCTAAGGGCTGCCTTTGGCTTAATTTTTGATAAGGAGCCACTTTTGAGACGCTTCCCCGATTTTTCCTTTGGCAATTGGCTGACTTGTTGGCCCACAAACTACCCTAGATGTTTTAATTTTGTTTAAAGCACCTTTCACAGTGTGTGCATTCATATCACTTTTATGTTGATGATTGTCTGCACTTGCTAGATGGTCAGGTCTTGGAGCAGAGAGACAGTAGCTATTTTTGGATCACCACATTTTAGGCTAATGCTGAGCTCACTGCACCCAGCAACAATGCTCATAAGGATACTAAAGTGCTGAAAGCAAACAATGCATCAGGACTTTCCACAAAATTTTGTTTCATAGATGTAAATAAGACTTAACTAAATCAATGAATGAGAGTTCCAAATGAATTTGTTCCACAAATTATATATAATAATAATAATATAAAATTATATAAATTATGTAAATTGTATAAAATTACATAAATATATATAGATATCATTAATGTATTTGCAATTAATACTGTTGGAAAGCAAAAAGATTGCATGGTGTCTTTGTACTAGTTATTTATTAAGCATGTGCCATTTGCATTATTCATAGATTGTTTAATTTATATATCATGATGCTCCTCAAGAACTATGATAATGGCCAGTTGGTGGGTTAGAAAAACGTGGCTCATACACTTGTTCATAACACACTGTACCATATTCATGTACATAGGAACCTTACAATCATTATAAAAATTTTCATATCGTGTGGCAGTTGTTTGATAATTGCCAGCCAACATCCTCTGGTTAAGCTCAATCAGGACAGACTGTCTCATTCTTGTTGAATTTTCCTAGCATGGTACCTGGACCATAGTGCATACACAGCTAATACTACGCGTTAATTAACACCTATTAGATATAAGAATGAACACCAATGCCATTGCTACTGCACTGTTGCTACTCTCTTATGCAGCAGAAGCCAGAAGTAGAAGCTTGCCAGTCATCACTCTGAGTGTATCATGTCTTACCCTTTCTTTCTCCTTATTTTATTTTGGGTAAAATATTATTTAAAAACTCTGAACTCAGAAGTCACGTGCCTCTATTTCTGTTTGTGCTTAACATTTCGGAAAGGAAATTGGGAAGAAAAGGAAATTATTAGTGACAAGGACATGGTTCCGAAGGTGTTGCGCCTGCTTAGCTGGCCATAGTCTCTTTCACCTTCTCACCCTGACTGCGCCAGCATTTGGAAATTACTTTTTGTCGTGTATATATACAAACAGCCCTTATTGTTTATTTAAAGATACATAGAGGTAAGGTGTGCATGAGCTAAAATGGATATTCTACATCTATCTGAACTTAAATGTTCTACTTAAGGAAGAATTTAAAAATATGTGGGCCCATTTTGTCCTCTAAAATGGAAAACCACGATCAAATACCAGTGCTTTTATTGCATCAAATTTCTGTTGTGTTGCTTTTTAATGCTGTTTTCCAGACTCATGTTTTCTTGCTCTTTTTCTTTTTTTTTTTTGTCTTTCCACTTTTGATCTGTGGTTTTCTTTTTTCTTATTTTATTCATTATAATTCTATTGCCATTTCAGGTCACTGAAAAGTAATTTTTAAATGTTGAAATAATTTTAGGTTTACAAAAAAGCTGCAAAAATACCATTAAAAGCTGTCATATACTCATCAGTTGGATTTCTAACCCACATCAAGAAATATGCCTGTTTTCTTTCTTTTCACTTTCAATACATATTTTTTTTCTATGTACACATGGATCTTTTGAATCATTTGAGACAAAGTTTCAGAAGTGATGCACCTTTATCTCAGAGTATGACTGTATTTTCTATTTAATCATGTTATAAAATCAGGACATTAACATTTGTAAAAAAACTTATTCTCTAATCTATACATATATATATAATTTATATTTTACTGATTGCCCAAATTGTATTTTTTGTAGCAAAAACTATCATTTCCTTGCTATAAATGATAATTTCACGCTGGGCATGGTGGCACATACCTGTAATCTCGACATGACTTTCAGGCCAGCCTGAACTTCATAGTAAGACCCTGTCTCATAAAACCTAAATAAATAAATGAAAATTTCACATGGCACTTAGTCGTTATGTCTCTTTATCACTATCAATCAAGAACTCTTCACTCCTTAGTCTGTCTTTGCCTTTTGTGACCCTTATGTTTTGAATGAGTAAAGGCTACTTCTTTTTCAGATTACTTCTTGATTTCGCCTTGTTGTCGGCTCGTCACTGGTGAATTATGATTTTCCATTTTCAGCAGGGATATATCTCAGTACAGGATATGTCATTCCAGGGAGCACACATCTCATCTCACTCAATGATTGTTCATGTTAACTTTGGCCATTTAAAGTGGTATCTCTTGGCTTTCTACATCTTAAACTTGCTATTTTTCTCTTATGAAGCAAAAGTTATTTAATGTTATATATATTCTTTCGCATCAAATTTTTGTATACTGGGTTTAGCAAGCAGTGTAATTCTTACTGGAATCAATTATTGCTATATTTGTCAAATAGTGATTTTCTAGTCTCACAATTTCTTCTGTTTACCTCCTAGCATTCTACTATAAGACCTTTTACTTCAGTCCCAATTACTTATTTATTCATTTATTTATATCAATATGAACTCATAGATTCCTATTTATTTATTAATTTTTTATGGGTACATATTTGCCATACATAATGGTCACATTCATCATAGGGAATTTGTACCCGTACATAATCTATCTTAATTCTTCTTTTTTCCCATTTTTCTCCCCTCCTTTCAACCTTTCTTTTCATTCAGTGTCATTAATTAGCTGGGGATGTAGCTCAGTGGGGCTGTACCTGCCTGGCAAGTGCAAGGTCCTGTGTTCAATTTGTGGTACCAAAAAAAGAATCAGTGTCATTAATTGGTTTCACACTAAGAGATTACCACATTTTTCTAGTAGGAGCTTTTCAAGCCAACTTTTGATAGAATCAGATTACCTAAATGGAATGTTCAAGGAAATAAGGGATTTTGTATGGAGTGCAAAGCATTTTAACTGATTATTCATTAGTAGGGAAGTATATATATCAATGGTTCAGACAAAGCCTATACAGTATACATATGCATGAGGCCTTCTGTGAGGATTACTGACTTAACTTGCATTGCTGTATTTTGTACTCAAGCCACCAATCAAATGATTATGGAATGACTGAAACTTCTTTTAAAGCAGACATACAGAAGTATATACATTTCAATGACTGTTATGAAAGTAGCTGCTCTCATTTAGATTGTAAATGTCCTCCAAAGACTCACATTTGGAGGTGGGACCTGGTAGGAAGGGCTTCATTAGGGGCATGACTTGGAAGAGTACGTTCTCTGCCAAGCTCCTTCCTTCTCTCTGCTTCCTGGTCATTATGTGGTGAACAGTTGTTCTCTGCCATGCCATTCCTGCCTTAGAGCCAGCTTGCCGTGGCCTGAACCCACTGTAACTGTGAGCCTAAACAAACCTCTTGTCTTTTAAGTTGCCATTGTTGGGTATTTTGTCCCAGTGATGAGAAAGCTAATATGGGAAATTGGGACCAGGAATAGGTAGTTGCTGTGACTACATTGATCATGTGGTTTAGTATCTTTTGGAAGTGGTTTGAGGGACTCATTTGGAAAGATCTGGAGATGCAGGATACAGAAACTCTATAACATTGAGAGCAGTGCTTGATGTATGATACTGGTCAGAGCTCAAGTACAATGCTGATGGGAATGTGCACCATAAAGATCAGGCTTGAGAAGTTTCAGTTGGGAACAAGGACTTCATTGGCAGGTGGACTAGATGCCATATGTGTTATACTCTGGAAAAAATTTGTCTTCATTTTGCCCATGTCCTGAGATTTTGCAAGAGATTGAGATTAAGGGCAACAGACTAAATAATATGACGGAGAAAATTTCAAGGCAGCTCAGTATTCAGGCTGTGGCATGGGTACCGCTGGCTGCTTTTGGCCAGTTTTATAGTGAGAATGAAGAGTAAAAGCAGAACTGCATGATGTGAAGCTTGGCCAGAGAGGGAGCAGATTTATAAATTTGGAGCAAAGGAGAATGTGGTTGTTGAAAAGATTAGCATTAAAAAGAACCAAGTACTTTGCACAAGGACAGTAGAAAAGATGGCTAGATAGCATATCAGGAATTGGCTGTGACCTACACTTCCAAGGCTCAAAGGTGTAAAAGGGTAAAGGGAAATTTCTTTGAAAGATTTTGTTTTCATAAGCTAACCCCAGGGTGCTCTGCTCCAGAAGGACCATGTGGAGAATTTTTTCCCAGGGGTTCATTTCACTGTGCTCAGCCAGCCAGGCACTCAGAGGCCACTGCAGCCAGTGGCCTGGCTGTTGTTTAAGCTCGTGGCAGACCTTAGCATTAACCACATACAGCTGGTTTTTTAGGCATGCAGAGTACAAGAATTACGGTTTTGGAGGCTTTTACCCAGATTTCAGGCAAAAGTATGTGACAGAGTCTTGGTGTACGCAAAGAGCCCCTGAAGCAAGAATGCATGAAGCTGTGAGATTGAAGGAAAAAGTACAGTGGAGACCCAAGGAATCTGGAGGTGCCAGGAATATGGAAGCTCTGTTGAGGAAATCTGCAGACACTGAGTGGAACTCACCCAAGAATGAGGCTGTGTGGCCTGCAACCAGTAAAGCCACAGAGGGAGGGCCATCCAAGACCTTTGGTGCTCACAGCCTCCCTCAGGTGTTGGACATAGAGCTACAGGATTTAATGTTTGACCCGTGGGGCTTCAATCTTGCTTTGATCCAATTCTTTTCTACTCCCTTATTCCTCTCTTTTGGAAATAGAATATTTACCCTGTGCTATTGTGTGTTGGAAATATTTAACTTTTTTTTTTTACATAGTCGTACAGCCAAGAATTTGCTTTGAGTTTCAGAGG